AATTTTGATATAATTAATATTCAAAAACTATATCACTGTTTTTAGTCCATAAACTAGATTCCAAATCAAGCACACAGATTCAGTCGAATTTGTCTGACATACCATCAGCCACGGAAGGTTCCAACTTGGAAACATCGAGATTTGCTTCTGAAACTTTGGAGAGTGAACGTGAAAGCTTGAATGCATACAAACAGGCAACAGCTAATGCAAAGACGGCGCCACAAATTGTGATCGATCCACCTGGCATACAAAGTCATGGAGATGTTGATGCCATACGTGCAGAAGAAGAGCAAAGTTGGTTAAAAAAATGTTGGCTTTTAGCAAAGATTTATTGATATTTTATTTTAAATATTTGGAATTTTTCAAGGTGATGGACACGCTATCAATGGTACTCACAATCTTCTGATAAGTTCGTCGAGTTCGAGTAGTAGTTCTTCAGCGACATCGCCATCCCATGCAACGACTGATATTGCGAGACAATCGGAGAAAATTACCAATATTCCTACTACATCACCTGAAGTTATGCGTACCGCCTCGGAACGTCATCAGAAGGGACTCATGTCACCGTACATCTATCAAATTCTTATTGCTGGTGAAATAAAATTGCCTGTTCTTTTGGAAGATGAGAATCATCGTGAATTTCCTTCCATTCATGTGATTTATAGGCCAATTCGACAAATGGTGTATGCGATTTTATTCAATCTCCATCATCGAATGTATCTAGCTACGAAAAGCAAAGAAAAAGGTGGTAAGTATGATATTAATTTTGCAAATTATGGATATTTAATAAATAGATATTTAGTAGATATTTCTTTGTATTAAATTTTATCTTGTAAATTTATTTAATAGATAATGAGAAGATTGAGGTACCAGATGTGATAATAAAAGAATGGATATGGTCCAAATCCAATCCATATCAGACTCCTGAATTAGTGAAAGCAGAGCAGATTGGTTGGGGCGTGCCTACGATTCAACGCTTATGGTTTGGGTAAGTAATTTTATTTTCATTGAAATAGATTTACAAGATAATGTAATGTAATATGTATATATCTATACATACGCATACAACGCACACGCGCGCGTACACGTATATGTATATGTGCGAATGTTTATGTGTATATATACATTGATCAGAAAGTTAAGGTAACTGTATCAGTTATATAATAATAGCAAAAATTTATTAAAAATGAAAAAGAACATTTTTTTATATTTATATTGTTTGAAGTATTAAATAAATCAGTATAAAATTACACTTTTTCAAAAAATTTTAAAAAACATCAAGTTCACGCGTATCTAATTATTTTTTTACAAAAAGCATTTTATTTAACTATCTCCACATCAATAATTAAGTTTTATTATTTTTACAAAAAATTTGATATTAAAAATTCTCAACTTATAATTCTTAAAAAAAATTAATATAATTATTATATTTGTATTTATATTATACTACTTATATTATAAATATTTTAATATATATTTTTATATTATAAAAATTTATATTATAAAAATTTCTGATGTACAAAATGGTACTACAAATAATATTAAATTATATAAAAGATTTAATGTCAAAGACTAGCATCACCTTGTATATAGTTGTCGGTAAACGTAATATAATTATTCATGTATTATGAAAAATTCAATTAACAAGAATTTAACTTCAAAAATAGTTTCAATATTTTATGATGCATATAGTTTTATTGACATACAAAAACTTGACGCGTCCGGGTCACATTAAAATGTACATGCACACATCTATACTGTTCTATATTAAATATAATATATTAAATATAGTATATTAATACTCTTGTATTAATTAAAGTTGTTAATAAGTAGATAATAAGATAGGTAGGATAATAAGATAAGTAGATAATAAGTAGATAATAAGTTGTTAATAAGTTGTTAATAAGAGTTGTTTATTATTAAAACTGTTTAAAAGTAATGTTGCTCCCTGGTACTGCTCACAAAGATAGAAAAATCATAAAAATGTGTCTGATAACAAAGCGTAGATAAGTAGTCTTAAATTAAAATTTCTACATGGCTATTTCTATTTGTATAGCATAAAGGAAAACTAAAAACTTATATAATTTATTTATAAACTTATATAATTTACTTGTAAACTATCAGCTATCGATTGAATATACTTAAAACGTAATCGGTACAGCCGTTGTTGAGATATGAAAATGTGTGTTCTGTTTCAATTTGGCGACTCTCGATTTAATGATTAAACAAAGTCACGGGCATTTCGCCATTCAATGCGAGTTTTGCTACACGTGAATATGACGACAAGATATTATCCGTGACTTTTGATATATTTAGATTATAAAAACATTAAAATATAAACAGAATATATTTTTAATATTTTTTGGAAAAAAATTTATAAATAACATTTTTTCTAATAGATAATAATAATTTTTAATTATTAATATATCTTGTATATACCGTGAAATCAATTACACGAATAACTAATAATTTATAGGAAGATTTTGAATAACTATAGATATCGAATTTGAATATATACGAAAATGTAAAAATAATTATACATATTAAATTAATAATTTCAAAATAAGACGTATGTATTTTAAATATGCTATTTAATTCCTTATTATCATTTCAATATACTATTTCTATATGAAAAGCAATGCAAATTTAAAAATCAAATGATTTTTAAACAGTTTACAAAATTGTGCTCACTCTTTACACAGATACATAGATGAAATATTAGAACAATCTATATAATTTTTACGCTTTTGTCAATGTTTTGATACATTTATGTTTTTAAAATTTTTCATAAACTTATATAATTAAAATTTTTATAAATTGACAAAATTTTTTTCCTCTCCTTTAGCACAGCTATTGACGATAAGCGACGAAGACTCAGAGGTTTCCTGACTTGTATGAGATCAGATACGCCTCTCATGTTAAATACCTCATATGTGCCGCAACATCTATTAGTTATGGCTTGTGTTTTAAGGTAGATATATCGATTATAATTATTTCAACAGTTGTTATTTAAATTGCATTTTGATTTATGTTTATGATACTGTTCATGATATTTACAGTCTAATTTATTGATTCAAAGTGCGCTGATGACAATTTTATTTCGGATCGCTCGTGCCATAAATATATGTTTTCTTTTCCTCTCCCTTTCTCTTAGGAAAAGATAAAAATAATAAATTATTAAATTAATATTATATAATGAGTTAGTTATATAGACATTTATCAGAGTAACGCAATTTCCAGAAGCCATCTTTTTAGTATTTTAGTATTTTAGATGATTTATATTAATTTTATTTATATTAATGATATTTCCAACAAGATTTATATTAATTCTTTTTTTCATGTAAATAATACAAACGTTTATATTGACCCATCTTGGGATTGTGGGTACTATGAGCATGCGTTATAAATCTGTGTTTTGCTTGCGAAAGATGTTCAGAAAATAGTAAAATTGAATTATGATTCAACTGTGAGCACACTAATAACTGTGAGCAAAAATTGGAGTGTAGCCTTAGATCTCTCTTTTTTTAATTTTCATAGATAAACATATGAAAATGCTATCATAATTAGAATTTAAATTTGATTAGTTAATGTTTATTTAATTTTTTCTTTTGTAGATATATTATGTCTTTTTCTGATAAAATAAAAATTCTGCGCCGTCAAGAGTTAGATGCTTTTATTGCGCAAGCTTTTTCACCGGAACTTATGAACGCTCAGTATTTGCAGGATTTGCAGGTAAAATAAACATATTTTACATTTTTTTCTTAATTCGGTTTTTTATCATTAGTAATATTTGAATAAATCAATATATTTGATATTTGTATACAGCTTCCATTAGTGACATCACGTGGTGTACAATTGGCTACTTTGTTCATGGCTGGTGTTGAGACAGCATTGTTAGCGAATGATGCTTGTGGTGCACCAATTCCATGGTTAATGTGTTGCCCATGGCTTTACTTTGATGGCAAATTATTCCATCATACATTAGCTCGTGCTACTATTGCTAAGAATTTATTGGAATTATGCAGTGGTCATATTGACCGTGTTGTAAAAGTTGAAAGAATGAGAAAAGCTATACTGGAGGGAATTACTGTTGTGTTTGCACGTCCACCTTTACCTGTCACACCAGGTATATTACATAATAATCAATATTAATCAGTTCTTCTCAAAATGGAAATAATTTGTTTTAATACAATTTACTGCATATCTTTATTGACAATTTTCTATTTTCTAATTAACTTCTTATAAATCTACCATATGTATAGAATAATAATCGGAATTGAATTCAAGAATTAAGAATTTACAAATAGATTGTTCTTACACAATTAATCATGCGTTACTTTCCCTATATAGCTTAGTTGATAACAAAATTTATTTGATAAAATTCAGTATTTGATTTTCAGCATTTCGTTTTTTTTTTTTTTTTTTTTTTTTTTTTTTTTTTTTTTTTTTTTTTTTTCTCTTCCTTTTCTTTTCACAATTCTTCCAGTTTCCTTAGCATCCTATGATTTTTCATAATAGGATGTTTTCGGATGGAAGTATAGCAAAAGCAGTTAATATTGCTTCGTAGGGTTTATTAATATGATTCTGCGAATCTCAAAACTGCGATAAAATATCTTGATGAGCAAACTTTTTTATAAAAGATTGGAAAATTGCTGTAAGAACATCCATTAAAATTGTTAAGAAGTAATAGTATTTTTTAGAACAATATTTAAAAATAAAATTATAAATGTTACATGAAAAATTAACATTTTATAAAGAAATATATAACAATTTGTTATGCATAGAATGCGGTTTTAAATAACAGAAATTAATTCTATGTATTAAAACTTCTCTTTTCTCATCATTAGCATTAAAGATTATGACATCAAAAGTAAGAAAATAATAAAGTAAAAGTTCTTGCAAGATATATTAAAATGACAGTTAACTCTCTCTTTTATTTTATTAATTAATAAATGAACATATCTGGAAATGAGTTATGCATAACTAAAAATGAAATAAGCTATACTCAAGCTATAATCATTATCAAATTAATAATATATAGAAGTAATATCTTCTCGAAAATAAAAAGTTTTTTAATTTTTAGTTTTTGATATATTTTTTAAATTTGTTTTATTAATTACAAATATTTTATTGAAAATTGTTTTTATTGAAATATATTTTGTAAAAATCTTTGTTATGTGTTATTCTTCTGATATCAATTTTTCCACAATTTTTCTTTTATGTAACGTTTATAATTTTATTATTGTCATAGGTATTCGTGTATCAGTTCCCTCCAATATCTTGCCTGCTAATTGTACCATTAATGATGGATTGATGCGTGGTCGTGGCAGCGGCGTATTACCACAACGCAGTTTAATGCGTCGTCCAATTCCTTCGCGTGGTGGTCAGTTGGAAATAGCTGGTGTCGTAGTGGGTCAGTGGGGCCCAAATTATGGACAGCCTGGTCGATTGCCACAACCACTACAGGGACAACCTCGTGGACGAATTCCACCACAGGTAAGATATAATAGGTTTTAATAGAATATGATTGCAATTTCATAATATGATACGATAGCTCGATATCGTTGCGTGTATATGTAGAGTAAAAAGCACACGATGACGATACTCTGGATAGATTTTAGGGGAACGTTCGAGATATTGAGTAGTCCACTTTCACTATTTAACATCGCTGGTGCGATCGGATAATACGTGCATTTAGGAGGGACATCACGTAAATCAATTTAATGCAGAGTTGCTTATATAGTTTTTACATAGTTTTTATATATAGACGACTAATATATAATGGAAATAAATCTGAAATCATGTATTTGAGAATTTATATTAAGCGGAGGATAGTTAATTTATCCTCATTAAATAATTTTATAAGCTTTATTATACTATTAAAATGAAAAGGAAACTATTTTAACATTTATATTTATATGATGTTTTTTTGTAGCATTGCGATTTTGTATTATCGCATTTGCATGTTTTTTTTATGTGTAATATGAACACTGTTAAAATAAAGGATGTGTATTTAAATAATTAAACAATTTATAACACACAAAAATTACATAACAGTTATATATAAACAATTATATATAAAAAGTTATATATAAAAAATTTATATTAGAAAAATGATATGTATTATTTTCAAAAAAGACTTAGCTATTCAAGAAATATATTTATTTTACAATATTAAACATTCTTGTTTATTATTCTTACATTTAAATCACATATTTACTCTTATTAATTTAATTTATTCATTATATTAACATAATAAAGTTTTATAATACTTTTAGAATATAAAATCTAATAATTGATATACGCTATTATTAAAAAACCACATACGTAGGATATTTATTTCTAAGATCTGTTTGCATCCTTTGTATTTTTGAAATAAATTGAAACGATAGAAAAATGTCGAATCATCCATCTCTTTATTATGGCAGAGCTAATTTTTTTATCAAAAACGTTTTTCTTTCAGATAAGAGGACAATTTGAAAATTTTAAACGGTAAAGGAACTCAAGTCTAATATATCTCGTTTAAAAAAATCTTGCTAAAAGACAATTTTTATACTAGTTCGAATCTTTATACTTATAAAAAATAGAGGTCAAATTTGAAAAATAACTTTATTTATTATTTAGGTTTTTATAATGATTGTAGAGAATTGTCGAAGATGATAAAATATTTATCTAAGAATGTTTTACTATTTTTATTCTACATCTATTATTTTTCATAAAGAAAGAAAATTTCCTCTATCTCTTTAGAGAAACATGCCCTTCTAGAATTTATTAAAAATAGTAGATAAATAGACAAAAACAAATAGTCATATTTAACAATTAACTTAGTTAAAACTATATGAGCAACAGAAGTTTAATTAACGCAATTAACTATGATTAGTTAAATTTTTGATGAATTTGCAGATTATGTTATTATGTTATTTTTGGATATCAGGGATGGTCAGAAATTGATAAAAATCTTCAATTATAACAAACTTTCTTCAAGCATGTATACGCTTGTACACATGCGCGCAGGCGCCCACACACACAAAATAAAAAAAGACATACATACACACACACACACACACACACACACACACAAAGCGCGCGCGCGCGCGCGTGTGTGTGTGTGTGTGGTAAACAAGTTTGTTTTTGGAAGATCGTAATGAAAAAATAAATGTTTTTAAATTAAAAAAATACTGAATTTAACATACGATAATAATGATAAATTTATCGATTGTATAATAAATTGATTAGTATTTATAAGTTATTAATAAAATTAGTAACTTGTTATATTTTTACATAGTACATTTCTTTATGAATCTTTAATATATCCAATTATCCAAAATATCTAATTCTTAATAGAATTAATAATTAGAATTTTTAGAATTTATTAATTTTTTTATTTATTTATTTTTTTCTAGTTTAATGTACTGCATTTTATTTTAATTTTTTTTCCATTTTAATTGGATTTGATTTGTGTTATTTCTCGTCAAAACGTATTCTTTTAATAAATAATTTTGACGATTTTTTGAATGCATCAAAAACGCATGTTCTAATTATAGTTCAATATTATTTAATTTGAAAAAAGCATCTACATAAATAAACACATAAATACACACACATGATACATTTTAAAATGTAATTTAAAACGAGAAATAAAATATGACAATATGATGATATATGACTATTTTAAAACGACAATGCCAAAGTTTTAGGGCGAGGAACAGCCTAATGATAACAGTATTATCGGATGAAATGAACTGCAATATTCACGAAACGTTGGCATTTAACATGTATGATGACACTCGTAGGATAATATTCGTAAACAAATTAACTTTTTGGAAACAGCAACCATGGAAACCTTAAAAACGACATAAAGATTTGTAGAAATAAACATTGAATAGTTTTATTTAATAATAAACAAAAAAAGTTTAATAGTGTAAATAAAATGGAAAATAAAATATATTCTTTTATGTCAAATTTTATACGTTGAAAATATGATCACAGTTATCTCATCTAAGCAATTAAAAATTTAATCAAAAATTAAATGTTTTTTAAGACGGTGTTATTTCAGAACGTGCTGAAATATATTTTACAAATATATGTTTTACAATAGAAAATAAAAACTTCAAATATATACTTTTTAGATAATTTCGAAGCTAAAGCTCAAACGATTTATATTAATATAATATTTTTTCTTATTTTCAAATCATCTCTTCTAAATTATTACTATGATTCCAAGTCGTTTTTAAAATATCTCACAATATTTAATTTATACATTAAATTTTGTATATATCGCAATTTAGGTAAATTATTCTTATAGGTAACTTCTATCGGTGGACTTAAATATGGTCTTCCTCGTGGATTCAATCCGATAAATCGACCAACATTTCAAACACGCGGGGCTAGCCGTGTCCCAATCGCTGGACGTGGCAAGAAAACACAAATGAAGGTAAATGTATGCGCGCGCGCGCGCGTATGTAGTCGTTCTTTAATGAATATGAAAATAAATGACGCAGTTAATGCTCACTTTTTTCTTAATATAGAAAAAGAAAATATTTAAACAAAAGAAAATAAACTTATACAACTTATCCAATGCGATTTTTCTCTCTATGCTCGCAAGCTTGCTTCTTCTTTATACATCTCTCGAATACGCCCGAAGAGTCTCGGGACGCTACGCAATGCCTCACTTAACCGGGACGCAATTTTAAAATTAAAGAAACGTGCGGTCCTAAACACCGCACGCTAAATAAAAAAAAATATATAAAATTCTGATTATCCTACTCGGTTATCGATGACATCTGTCTTCAGATGTTAAACGTCACTTTCCGATGTTTCTTCAAGGGTGTTAGCTTAAGGCTTCATATGATTTGCCGCTATAAAAGTCATACAAGTCTTCTGCTTGGTCAACCTTTTGTACGACGTACAAAATCTATTCTATTGTTCTGAAGTACTCTTTTTATTTTATATGAGCCAAGATACGTGGCTGTGAATTTTAATCCGCTTCCTTCTTACGTTCTTCTTATTGTTACCAAATCGTCTACTTTGTATATATTAGGTGCTTTTCTTTTTTACTATAATTCTCCCTATTCTCTTCCTGGATTTTTTTGCTAGCTTCTCTTGCTCGTTGTTGTATGTAATTGCGTTCTTCTTGAAATAGCGCAACGAAGTGCTTGAAATAGCAGGCTCTCGACTTCAAGAAGTTCTTTAATTTTAGGATCTTCTTTTATTCTCATATGGGTACCAAAGAGAAGACAAAATGGTGAAATACCAGTACTGCGTGTTGAACGTTGTTTGACGTATTGTTGTGTTTGGTTAACGTATTTATACCACTCGGATTCGGAGCTGCTAATTTCGTCTTCATAGGAATTAGTATTACTACACTTAACTTGCCCATTTCTTTGTAAGATTCCAGTGACTATAATCAAATGTTTAATATTCTCGTTTTTATAATAATTATTGAAATCATTCGAAGTTAATACCGTTTCTTGATCAGAAATGATTCTTCGTGGATTATCGACAATAGTATTTTATTCATCATCATCATTTGGTCAAGTACTTGCTAGTTGACTTCGTTGGATATGTATATAATCATACAAATTTCGTGAAAACATTTATTACTATGATAGATAATTGTATTTTTTCTTCGTGGACGGCAAGGGACTTGAGTGATCCACGTATAATAAGTATCAAATGAACTTTCTCCCTTAGGGATCGAATGCAACCAACTTTCTTGTTTCCTAGTCTTCTTTTCTGCTAATATGTAATTAATTCAGTTTTACACAACACCTTCGATCTTTTTATGCATTTCCTTGAACCATCAGTATTTTTCCGCCTTGTCGAGACCAAAATAACCATGCTCATGAATCTGTCGTATAATACTATGCTGCATTGATTTCCGTATAACTACCAGGCTATCTCCATTAACTTCTTTATACAAGAATCCATGTTTTATGAGATATCTCTTTCTGATCGTTTTCCACTTGTTTTTGTATACTCTGAGGAGTACTTTCGTCGTCGTACCTTTGATTCCTCTACAAACTTGCAAGAACATCATCATGACAATCGGTTAAGCATTGCTGTAGGTAGGGGATTTTGGCTGAGCGTGTCTACATGACGCATATTCCTTCCAGGCCGGTGCTTAATTGCTGTGTATTGAAAATTCTATAGAAACAACATCTTGCTATTCTTGTACAAACATCGGCTTTTTTCATTGTTTAAGTAAACGTTTGACAATCTGTTATAATCTTAAATGGTATGCCTATTAGATCAACTTGAATTGAATTTTGAATTTTTGAATGAAAATTGAATTGAATTTTTTTAATGACAATCGCTTGATAATCGCTAAAAGTTTCAGTTTGTAGCTATGAAATTTCGCTTCTGCATCGATAGTTTTCTCGCTCACAAATCTGGTGGAATAGGCAGACCTCACTATTGCGTTGTAACAAAATGGCTGCATAATCACTGATGGATGCATCTATATGTAATTTGGTTTTTGCATATGGATAATAAATTCGTAAAATTAGTTTTCTATTTAGTATTTCTTTCAGATTAAACACTCGCTTTTGTTTATCATCAAAATTAAACTTAATTCCGTCTTTTAATAAATCGGATAACGGAAGTGCGATAGATGCATATCTTGAAATAAATTTTCTGAAATAAGCTCTAAGAAACTTTGCATTGCTCTTCGATTAGTTGGCATTCGAAAATGTGTGACGGCGTTAGTCTTTTTGTCTGAGGACATTATACTTCTATCTTTTATAATAAAACCTAAATAATTAACTCGTTTTCTTAAAAATTGACATTTCTTCTAATTTATTCTGAGTCCGTACGAGCCTGCTACTTCCTTTAAGCGAATACCCTCCTGATAATCTATAGATGATATGATTGTATTATCCATATAAATTATTACTACACTTTTTATCATTAAATCATCAAATACAGCATTTACATATTTCTAGAAGTACGCTGGCGAGATACATAATCCAAACGGTATACACAAAAATTCGTAACGGCCATTAGAGATTATAAATGCAGTATATTTATGATTTTCCTTGGCTACTTTAACACGGAAAAAACCGTTCTTAAGATCTACACTACTAAAAACTTTTAACTCCTCGCAAACGATCGATCTAATCTTTTATAATGGGCAGAAGATGTAGCGTCTTAACTACTTTTTAATTTCATTTTTGGTAGTTAATGTATATTCGCGTTCTCCCATCTTTTTTCTTGATTAACACAATTGGGTTAGCATAATCCGAGTATGATGAGCTGAATAATACATTCGTCCAACTATTCTTTTATCTGTACCTCTACTTCCTTCTGCTCGAATATAGCTAGTCTATGCATTGATATACCAGGATGTCGTCTTTTAACACAATATTTAACTCAATGTCTATATCTTGCGTTTTTTCGGCTTTAATATTTGTTTCCTTTATTTCTTTTTTATTTTTATGATCCTCGATATGCGCAAGATCTATTTCATTTCGATAACGTCAATCTCATTTAGTTCTGGTATAACTGAAGATTGCTCAAAAATATTAATGATTTTACAACGCCTTGTCGTATTTGCATCTCAACAGCGTTTAAAAAGTATGTTTCTATCAACGCTGCGTTTTGCATATAAACATCCGGGACAACATGAAGTTTGCTTTCATAGATATAGCCATCGATACTAATTTTGACATGCGTTTCGCCTAAAGGTGCAATTTCTTGCAGCGAAGCGAAGCTAGCTTTCACCTCTTCCATTTCGGTGAATACAGCGAACTTCGCTAGTTCGCTGTATTCACCGAAATGGAAGAGGTGAAAGCTAGCTTCGCTAGGCACGCTGAAAGTTCGACATTGTCCAACTAACAGCGAAGTAACGCTAGAAAAATGTTGCCGGTAAAGCAAAAGACTGAAAAAGAAATTATAAAAGATACAGAATTTTATTATACAATTTTAAATGTATCACAGCAAATACAGCAATTATGCGTCGTCTCTACTGCAACTGTGGTTGCCACTATATATCTATATTGCTCTATGTATTCGATGTACTGATTATTATAATTCATTTTTAAGACAACATAAGAAATTTTTTTTTAAATAGCAGTAACTTTTCAGCTACAGCACATTTGACACTATAAATGCTTTAAAGTCTTTACGCTGCTTTGCGAAAATTTTGCGTATATTCATTTGAGGTGCTGTAGACATAAAACGCTAGCTTTTCTTCGCTTCCTGAAAAGGAAGAAGGGGATAGTGATAATTTTTCAATGCTGCTTTGCATTGAGGTGCAGTGGAGATAAAAACTAGCTTTGCTTCGCATTGCAAATTGCACTTTAATGTCTTATTCTCGCTCGAGCTTACCTCATTAAATTTTATCTTGTATCAAACTAATATCGCTATCGATATCAATTAGAACCGACATTTCAAATATCTCTGTTTATGCTGATGTCTTTATAACATTTTTTTTGTTTCAACTTGCAACGCGTTACAACTTTTTGATTTATTACTACACAGTAAAAAACATTTTGTATTTATGTTAAAATCGGTCCTTGTTAAAATTTTTGTGTTAAATAACCTACATATTTATATGTAAATTTAACACATACTACTACATTAACTGACTTTAACAAATATAAAATGTAAAATTATTAAAATGATTTAAGAAATGTGTTAAAATATCACAATACGTACGTATTTATTCAATATGTTAAAATTTACAAAAAAATATTGGTTTTACTCTATAACAGGAGTGCGGATGACTTGTTATTATTCTTTGTGTGGTTTCGGCATAGTCTTGAATTTTGACGCGTCTCGACATGTTATTTTATCATAAAAATTATGTTAATTGTAATACACAATTAACTTCAAATTAAGATTAAGAGTACATTTCTTTTTTGTTGAAATATTAACATAGTGTCGGTGTTACTATTTAACACATCCATATTATGTTAAATTAACACAAAATTTTGAGTGGACCGTTTGGGATATGTGATTTATGTTAAATTCAACATTTTTTCCAACAGTGTAGTGACTCTATAATAATTCGATAATCAAATATATTGATATCGATTAAAATCCGTTTTTATCTCCCTCCCCCATAGGAAATATATATTGCGAAAAATATCACTTCAGCCAGAGATCGAATCTGGATCGCCTGCTCTCCGGGCAGGCATTTTATCCATTAGACCACAGAGACCATAATAATATTTATTGTAATATTCAGATAAATAGTGTGTCGAATAGTGTGTCTTTTTCAGGAGACGTGAGAATAAACTATTCATATGATATAAGCCGAGTACATGTTAATAAACAACAACGAGAAAAGTTTATATAAGTTTATAACATTCATTCTATTCGACTTTGTTTCAAAGTTATAGCTATTTTTGTATTTCAATAACCTTGGAATTGCTTATCTTCATAGAAGATGTTCGAAATAGCCACATCTGTATATATACATGCTCTGTATATATACATGCTTGCAGTCCTCGTGTCAAAGGAGTTTCTCACTCTTTCCAGGTATATGTCGGATCTGTTGGCAAGCTTGTTGTATACGTGCACGAAGTATAATAATTTCAATATTGGCAATAGGTGTCGAATACACAATTGTTTTCATGTGGCCCCAAAAATAAAAATCTAATGGATTAAAATCTGGGGAACGAGCAGACCAAGCGATAGGTCCTCCACGATCCCACGATTTTTGAGGAAATCTTTCATTTAAGAACTACTTGGCTAAAGTGGGGTAGTACATTGTCATGCATATGTGATGTATGTATATAACATTAAGTGAGACATCTTCCAGTAGTTAATTTAATTGATTTTTAAGAAATTTGCATACAATTGACCTGTTAATCTCTGGTCAAGAAAAACAGTTCCGATTAAATTGTTTCCGAGTATTCCTGCCCATACATTTACACTGAATTGTTGTTGATATCTTGATTGAAGAAGGTATGTGGATTTTCATCAGATCAATAATAGGTATTATGAAAATTAACTACTTCATCTCTGATGAACGGCAGTTTCGTTAGTGAATAACACAACTGATAGATATCTGCAGGAGCTAAGTACAAAAAAGGATTTTTGAAGGAAAATCATCCTCTTGAAGTATCTGTATGGATTGAACATGATATAAAATAAAGCTACTGGTCATGTCTGCTATTTTTTTATTTAAATATATCTTTTTTAAACAATACATTGATACCAGCCAGTACATATTAACAAACAACAGCAAGTAACATAGTCTGTTTCATGGCAAGCAGGATCTTGGTTGCTAAAATCTTTTGTATGAATAAATTCAAATAATCATATCACCATCTTTTTTATTTAATTATGCATTTCTAACTTCTAATGCAAATAAAGAATTATCGAGCAAGAAAACACAAGAAAATCACTGCTCTGTTATAAACACTGTTCTTGATATTTCCTAGCCTTATTGATTTCACACGTTCTATCCACTGAGTTTACTCACTTTAGTTTGTTCTCTTGTTAGAAACACTCAATAAGTTTCTATTTGTGTTGGAAACTAGAAGTGCGTGATTAAGTGAATAAGATGTATTCAAAATTAAGAAATGGCACGCATGCATTTAATGTATGGCCTTACTGAATGTAATTCATCTAAAGCAAGATGTTTATATGCGAATCGTTTTCCTAACAGACGTCTGTTAGTTAAAAAAACATTTCAAAGATTATTGAAATACAAAAATGGTTATAGCTTTGAAACAAGATCGAATAGGAGAAATGCTTATATGAATTTTTTCATTGTTTTTATATCCACTTCTGAAGTGGGTCCCACATGTTACGAAAAACCCTGTACAGAAATTATTCAATTATTGAAATTATTTTAATTATTCAATTTCTGCTTTAGATTTCAATAGTTTTAAAAATTGAAGAGAGAGGGGCATTGAGGAGATAGATTTTAAAAATATATTTTTTGAAAAATTAGAATGCTTTTATAAGTAAGTTAAAAAAAAACATAAAATTTTTATTTGAAATATTTTGTTATGTTTCTTATTATTTCAACAGCATATTTATTAAAAAAAAAATAAATATCAACTTGACTTCAAAAAGATGTTTCAATTTTTTGATAAGAAATTAAATATTTATAAAAAAGAGGTATACCATTGTAATTGAAAGAGAGAAAGAAGGAGAAGGAAGGGGAAGCTAGGTATTTTTTTATTTTCTTATATAGAAATTTTAAATATATTTCTATTAATAATGTAGGTGACTGGCAAAAAGAAAACTACTATTAAGAAAACCAAGGAAACCGAGAAGAAAGATAGTAAAGGCCGCGGTATTATTATTGATGGAATCACTGATTATAAGTGAGTACTTTAATTTTTTCTGTATATTTCAACAGATGCTTTATAAATCAATTTTCATTGATTTTTGTATTGATGGTAGTAAATCTAAATATAGACATTCTTGTACTTGATTATTTTTATCATGTAAAGAATTAATCGTTCTTATTTTGGTAATAAACTTAACTTTTATTTAATAAAATAATTTAATTGTGTGTATTATGCAGACTTAATGCAATAGTTTATAAATCTAGATTCTATTTTCAGTGAAACTCAAATTGATAACGCTCGTGCATTATTGACGAAAGATGCACAGCCAGTACCAGGTCAGTTTGATGATGCGGTAGAAAATGGTAAAAGCATGGAAAAGGGACAAGGCGATGCGCCGGTTGTTACTCCAGTTGCCACGGAAAATTAGATATAGAAAAAAAAGTTTCTCGAAAAAGATGACTGCAATCACTCCCGAATAATGACTAAAGACTGCTAACAATCTTATATGTTCTGAGCAATTGTGTACCAATAACATTTAATTGATCTTTAAAATTGTTACACAAATATCTTTAATAATGTTTAATTATGAAGTTATTAATTATTATTAATTATTATGAAGATATAGATAAAAAAATTATTTTATTATATTTCTTTACCTAAAATTTTGACAGATTTTCCATGGAAATCTGTATTATATGCCTCATCAAAAATATTGTTTTTATTTAAAATTCTTTATCAAAACTTATTCTTATTTTTTTGGCTATTCTATTATTTCATCATCAGAATATTTATTCTAAATTAGTAATCAGTGAATTACTAATTTAATTTTTCATCTTCTAATCAATATAGATTGAAATCTCTAACATCATTTGAAAAATTGCAATTCTGTGAATATTTAATAAGTTAATAAACATTAGTACAATATTTTAAATAAGACAATTTTATTTTCTGTATACTGAGCTGTTTAAAAACTATTTTCTTTTAAATGTTATGTGCACAATAGTTCTAAAACTCTGATGGGTCCAAAATATTGATCTAATATAATAGAAGACAAGAAATCTTTACTTATAGTGTCTCGATAGCATATGGCACAACGTAAAGATTTTACCCGTTCTTGACATATGCGATATATGATGTTCTCACTGCCAAACGTATCACTCTATAAGATAGAAAGACGAAAAATCGTGATTGTGCTAAAAAAACGAGCTAATTTTGCTCGCATTACCAGGAATGGAACTCGACTGATTAGTGTATGCGTGCGCTAATTTTACTACTCAGAACAAATCGTCTCAGCTGCTATAAGTATTTAATTCTTAAGAAGTGTGATTATTTTTTTGTACACAAAAATATATATTTTCCAGTATTATATGAAACGCTCGCTGTGACATATCTCAGTGATTTTCGATCTGATCGACAAAGAAAGTAGCCTGATATACACATATGGACATACATATACGCCATACTACACGATAGCTTAATTCATTTTTGTAGATAATAATGTCAGATGAGACACTGAGATAGTCATTAGCATATGGAGACTGATGCTTTTC